CTTCATAGCAATTATAACTCTGCAGCACATTCAACTTACTAATATTTATTGAAATATTTTTAGCTGCAAAAACATTTTATGTTCACTATTATTTATTAATGCCCTGATTTAAAATATTACACATAAAATTTATTCCAGTGCACATTAGTAAATAAATTATGCTTGTAATTTCTAATGCATTTTTAATTATAAATTTATCCATGTCTACCTTTATTTATGATAGCGGTGTCTCACTGTTGAACATACTGTATATTAATGGCGACACTGCTAATTATGCATTCTTAGAAGTTGCATTCCACAAAACATACGAGTCTGGGTTTTTTTTTTTACATCCTAAGTCCTGTTAACATCAATTAATTTAGGAGTCAACACACACAGTACTAGCTACCTTTAAAGCAAGAAAAGATACTATTAGAGGATGGTTACAGGGCCTGGATGTGGGACAGGGGCTACATTTATATATAAATATAGCCAGAGAGATACTAAATACCAACCAGATGTTTCATTTTCAACGCAAGTGTCTAAAAAAGGATATTCACCAGAAATAATATTCAGCACAAAACCACAAAAGCTCCATGAATCTCTGGAGCCCCCAGAGCTGATCGGTACTTAAATAGTATCAGCAACGTGTTATCTTTAAGATTTTCGGGTTGGTTAATTTTGTGCTTCCCTTGCACCCACAAACTCACCTCGCTATAAGCAATACATTTACTTTAAAAAATTCTTCCCGTGGAAATCTTATGTTAACTTAAAAAATAATATTATATTTCTCTGAAATTGTACACTTCTTGGGAGCTTCTTTAAAATAGTTTGAATGGATTTTTGACACCTGGTTTACCGTTGTCCTGAAATTGCTTTGTACCACAGGAGTATAAATGCTATGTTTTCCCTATGGAAGGAAAAATATATTCCAAAAGTAGAGGAAATCAACATTGGGAAAATAGCAGGGAAACATATTCACACACATAAAATATTAAGAACACACATTGGCAGAGAAACTCGAAGACGCCTCCATCCCACAGCTCTGGAGGGGCTTGCAAGAGTTATTTTCATCGTATGACGTTTCCCCTCAGCTTGTCATAGGTTTGGCAAAGTGGTCTTTTCCACGGGCAAATTCTGCTCCTACAAAATACCATTTCCAATGGCTCCGTTTCAAGTGCATGTTTTGAGCAGCTTTTCATTTAACAAGCATTTTACCAAGTGTTTATGTTATTTTAAGATTTTAGTATATAAAGAGAAATAAGGAACACCCCCTTCCTCATGTCCTGTCAGGGAGACGGAAGTATATTGAAAGAACAACAGAAAACGTGAGAAATGTTGAGCACAGAGAA